TTGTAGCCTGAGCCTCCTCTCACGCAGAGGACCCGGGCACCAGCCCCTCAGGGGTTGCAGGGCAAGCTGGGTGGCCATGCTAGCCTGGCCTAGGAAAGCTGTTAACTGTCTGAACCCGGTACAGGCCTGGAACTTGGCTTGTAGGAGAAATTGCCATGGCTTCCACCTTGGCTACGGTTCAGGTGGTATGGGCCTGCTCTGTGTGTGTGTGTGCGTGCGTGTGTATGACCTTAGCACAGCATGGGGGGGGCCCAACACCAGATGGGGGGTCACCTCCAGCCATCTGTCCGTCCCGCCTCCCCCTACCCCACAGGGCTCTGTGCAGCTGCAGCTGCTTTCCAAGACAGGTAGATCGGAGCTGCCGCCCAAACATCACATCCTCTTCCTCACATGGAGCCTGGAGAAGCTAAAAATGCTCTGCTCAGCCCCAGGAAAACAAACATCGCGCTTCCCGAGGCTGTGTACCAGACAGATCCAAGGCCGCCGGGAGGGTGGGCTCCTGCGGGCCGCCCGCTGGGGCAGGGATGTCTGTCTGTCTGTCTCCCCGGGTCTCCTGGGTACTTACCCGGCCAGAACCAGAGCCTCACCAGAGTGGACTGGCTTCAGTTGAAGGGGCAGCACTCGATGTGGTCAGCCCAACCCCCCAGGGAAGGCTTGTGGCCCTTCTAGCCTTGGCTCTGAGGCAGGTGTGCGTGTGCGTGTGTGTGACACTGCATGTGTGCACATGCACGCTTGGATTACAATATTGACTGTCCTGATGGCTGACATGTGTGCAGTGCCTCTCTGTGCTTTCAAAACTGCACACGTTAAACCACAGTTGTCCATGAGAACACAGAGGCTCAGAAGGGTTATTTGTCCAAGGTCACACAGCTGGTAGACGGGAGAGCAGAACTCGGAGCCCACGGAGCCATGCTTGGAAGCCCGGTCTCTCCATGTGTCTCTGGAAGCACTGCCAAGGTGTGAGACCAGAGGAGGCCTGAAGCACAGCAAGCGCAGAGACAAAGGCCCAGCGCTGGGCTGGGCTCTGGCCACTCATTTTCCTGCTTGGCTCAGAGCTGTCAGGAATAGAGAGTTATGGAGGTGTAGCCCAAGGCCCACAGGCTGGGTACCCTGAGTTTGATACCTCCAGGTTCTCGCTGATGGTGTGAACCAGGGCCTGTACCCTGATCTAGAATCACACTACACACCCATCCCTACCTTAACCACACTGACTGGCCAGCACGCAGAGGAACGAACACCCAAACTGGCAACTCATTTATTTATTCTCTCCACAGACATTTATGGAGCAATGACTGCATGCTGGTAGCGAAGGCCTTTGCTCACTCTGAACCCCAGTCAAACGCTAGCTGATAAATGGGCGATGACTGGGTAATACCACGATTGCACCCTGCAGGGACCCCATGACAAGCCCCAGGTCTGGTGGGCTTCCTGGAGGAGGTTCCCGCCAACAGGCCTGGTGGGATGCAGAGGAGGAGGACTCTCCCTGCCTGGCACCAAGGCCCCAGGAGCCGGAGCTTCTCTGCTCACCCAGTCTGGGCTGTGATTTGTCTGGCAGCCGAGGGGTGGGGGGAGCCCCCAAGCACAAGGACTGGGTCTTCTGTCTCATTCTGTTTCTCATGCTCCTCATGGGATCTGCACACAGCAGGTGCTCAAGGAAGGTGTTCTGAATAGTCCTACCCCAGGCCTTTGTGTCCACCCTGAGGCCACGTTTGAGATCCTCCAGAACTTGGGATGGAAGGGCACCCATGTTCGGTAGTAAAGCACTGTCACACACATCCATGCTCACACGCATCCATGCTCACACACAAGCCCAGTGCTACCACCGGCATCACAGCCACCAGGACACAGCACAGCCAAAAGGTTTGCACATTTGGGTTTGTGGCTGGATAGTATGGGATTAGGCGGTGATCTTATCAAATTCTGGCTGTGTGACTTTGAACAAGTTGCTCAGCCCCTCTGTGCTTCAGTTTTCCACTATGGAAGGAAGGATTAATATCTCAACAGCAGTACTGAGAGGCTACATGTAGGAGGAACACTTCTCACCACAGAGAGTCAGATCAATAGTGATGGCAGCTGTTACCATGCCAATTATAAGAAAGGTGAAAGGTCACACAGGTCAAGATCAGATAGCCGTCTGTCTGAAAGGGATACTCTGGGCAGGGATTTGGACCAGGGTAGATCACTTGAGCTCCAAACTCTTTTATAAAGTGGTCCCAAATTATCTTAGCCACAGTGTACACATGTAATAAAGACACATCATATATCAGAAAATTATTTTTATTGCACATGAATGTATGTATGCGCTGGGGCTTGAACTCATGGCCTCATGCTCTTGCTTGGCTTTTTCGGCCCAAAGCTATCACTCTATCACTTGAGCCACAGCTCTACTTCTGGCTTTTTTCTGATTAGAGATAAAAGTCTTAAGGACTTTCCCGCCTGGGCTGGGTTAGAATGGAGATTCTCAGATCTCAGCCTGACTCCTGAATAGCCAGTAGTTATCCAGTGTCCAGTTATGTATCCGTTTTTTTTTTTTTTGTCAGTCCTGGGGCCTGAACTCTGGGCCTGGGTGCTGCCCCTCAGCTCTTCAGCTCAAGGCTAGCGCTCTACCACTTGAGCTACAGCGCCACTTCTGGCTTTTTCTGCTTATGTGGTGCCAAGGAATAGAACCCAGGGCCTCATGCATGCAAGGCAAGCTCTCTACCACTGAGCCAACGCCTGCCCCCATATCTGTTTTAATACTTGTATATCCTCACTAATAAGCCAGTTGCCACAGAGAAACAAACATTTCCAATAGCCTTACAAACTTCCCCGCTCATCATAGATGTGTCTCCAATTTACACAGAGGAAATCAAGAAACTGAGTTTTCTTTTGGTGGGGCTTGAATTCAGGGCCTGAGCTCTTTTTGCTCAAGGCTAGTAGTGCTCTTATTACTTTGAGCCACAGCGCCACTTCCAGTTTTCTGGTGGTTCATTGGAAGTAAGAGCCTCACGGACTTTCCTGCCAAGGCTGGCTTTGAACCGTGATCCTCAGAGCTCAGCCTCCTGAGTAGTTATGATTACAGGTGCGAGCTACCAGCACCCAGCAAGAAACTGAAGTTCAATAACCTTCCCAGAGGGCTGGGAAGGTGGCTCAGTGGTAGAGTGCTTGCTTGGCATGCATGAGGCCCTGAGTTCAATTCCCCAGCACCACATAAGCAGAAAGAAAAAGAGCTGGAAGTGGCACTGTGGCTCAAGTGGTAGAGCGCTAGCCTTGAGCTGAAGAGCTGAGGGACAGTGCCTAGGCCCAGAGTTCAGGCCCTACGACCAGACCCAAAAATAAATAAATAAATAACCTTCCCAGATACTCTTCAGGATTTGAACCATCTACCCTTCAGGCTGCTACCAGCTGCTGGGCTAAGCTGCTAGGTAGGAATCCCAGAGGGTGGGTGCCTGGGTGCTGTTTAGATGGAAGCCCCCCCCTTTCCCCCAAGGCCTCCCTGGGCCAGCTCCACGCTGTGAAGGTCCAAGGAGAGGCGGTGGCCATCTCTGTGGGCACACAGGCTGGGTGTGGAGGCTGGCATGCCATAGTAAGGCATCTGGTCCCAAGGGCATGTGCCATTTGTGCCAGCCCAGGAGACCAAGGTGCCTTAAGGCTGGGAGGGGGGGTAGTCAGCCTGGGGGAGGCTGGGCCCAGCAGGCCCCGCGTGCGTGTGACGATGTCACTGTGACAGTGTGACTGCTGAATGCAGGGCCACAGCGGCTCCCTGAGCCGGGGGTGGAAGGCGCTAGCTGCGTGAATGCTGGTGTAGGTGGCACGCCCCTCGTCTGGAGCTTGGGGGCTGAGCGAGGTAAACATGGCGGGGGGGGGGGGGGTTGATGGCAGGCAGGAGCTCGGTGGCAGCCCAGCCAGGATGCTGCAGGGCTGTGGGGGTTTGTGTGACTTTGCAGTTCAACAAAATTCAATTCAGCCCAAGCTGGCAGTGCCTGTTGGGTGCCAGCGAAGGAGGAGCAGCCGCAGACTGCTTGCGGCTTCCTAGAGGCCAGCTGCCGGAGGTTTGGAGGTCCACCTTGGCGTTGGCTCCCAGCTGGGTGCTTTTAGATCTCTGACATTTCCTCGGAAGGGAAGTGACTTGTCCAAGGTGACCCAGCTACTCAGAAGCAGGGCAGGATCTGAATAGAAGCTGCCAGGCTGCAGAGCCTGAATTCCTGGCCATCATGCCTGTTCCAGGCTGCAGATGTCTGGTCCTGGATAGGGGTGGGGGGGGCGCTGCTGTTCCGGCCCTGAAATAGCGTTTAACCACTGGGCTCCGAGTCTGTCCTAGATCCCCGGTCCTGGTGGGCTGAGCAGCGGGTGGGGCAGTTCACCTTTCCTGGGGACCAGATTCAGGGCCAGAGGGGGCTATCTGGCTCCCAGGGACCCCCCCCCCACCGCCCTGAGTGCCCGGCCCTCCTCTCATCCCTCCCCCAGCGCCTTGCTCCCCTCCCTGCGCTGACTCCACCCACCCCTCGCACTCCGGGCTTCTCCTTTATAAAGGCCGGAACAGCTGAAAGGGTAGCAACTTCTCCTGCAGCCCGGAGCGGCTCCCGGCCTCCTCTGCTTGCCTCCCAGAGGGTCCCCCGCCCCTGCCTCAGCCGCCAGCGCCCCGCTTCCATTCCCGACAGATATTTGGCGCACACGCACACACACACACACACGCAAAGAGGAAAGGAGAAAAGGGGGGAAAAAAAAGAAAACCCACCCTGCAGCCTCGTTGCAAAGAGGAAGCCGGAGCAGCCGCAGCCCGCAGAGGACCCCGAGGGCCGCGCTAGCCGGCGGGCAGCCCCGCAGCCGGACCGACCGAGCCGCGCCGCGTCCACCTGTCGGCCGGCCCCGCCGAGAGCGCCGCGGGCACGCCGCGCGCGCCGAGCCGCCGTGCCCGCCGCCCGGGCCCCGCGCCAGGGCGCACACGCTCCCGGCCCGGGCGGGAGTTTGCACCTCTCCCTGCCCCGGGTGCTCGGGCGACCGCCGCAGACAACTTTGGAAAAAGTTTTTTGGGGGGAGAGGCTCGAGCGTGGAGGTGGCCGGCCCCGCGCTTTCTAATCCGGGGAGCGGAGGGCGGGGGGCGGGCGCCTTCCTAGAAAAATGTTGCCGAAACACTAAGCCGGCGGGCACAGCCAGACGCCCGTAGCCGGCGGGTGAAGACGACCAGGTCGCCCCGCCGCGTGCCGTCGTCGCCTCTCCGAGGTGGGAGCCCCCCGCGCGCCCCCGCACGGCTGGACGCCTCGGCTGGTTCGCGACGCAGCCCCCCTTGGCCGTGGATGCTCGCGCGGGCTCGGGATCCGCCCAGGTAGCGGCCTCGGACCCCGGTCCCGTGCCCAGGATCTCCCCAGCCCCCCCAGCGACGGAGCCCGGGGGCCATGCGGGCGAGCGGCGGCGGCGGCTGCAGCGGCCTGAGCGCCTGATCGCCGCGGACCCGAGCGGAGCCCACCCTCCTCCCCAGCCCCCCACCCTGGCCGCGGGGGCGGCGCGCTCGGTGTACGCGTCCGGGGCCCCGCGGGGCCGGGCCCGGCGTCGGCATGAATCGCTGCTGGGCGCTCTTCCTGTCTCTCTGCTGCTACCTGCGTCTGGTCAGCGCCGAGGTGAGTTGCGCCGGCGGCCGGGGCTGCTGCCGAGATCCGCCGCCCCCACCCCGGTCCTCCCTGCGGCGAACTTTGGACCCCTGCGGCTCCGAACCTGACGCCAGGCTCGGGGTGACCCTGAGGACCGGGAGGCGAGGTCGGCGGGGGGAGGGCTCGGCGGCTCCGAGAAGGGGAAGGGGAGGGGGGGACAGCGGTGCCTTTCTTTCCGATGGGCGAACCCAGACCCCGGAGCCGGTTAGCGTTCTGGCAGGGCGTGTGCGGCCCAGCCCCCTCCCCAGGAACCCGGGGCGAGCCCCTTGCCCGCCGGGGCGAGGGGAGGGGGGACGCGGGGTGGGGTGGTGCCCGAGGCGCAGAAGGCAGTGTGGCCTCTCGAACCCACCTCGGGCCGGACCCCCCGCCTGCCCCGGAGGTGCGAGTTTGCACCTGTGCCATCCAGGCCGACCTCTGGCGGGGCTGAGGGAGGAGGTCCGGGTCCCACCCCGCTGTGGCTGTGGTTGGGGTGGGCACCGCGCGCCGCCCCGGGCATGCCCGGCGCCGGGGAGGGTTCGGGAGCAGCTTGTGCCTGGGCGCGCGGGGGTGGGGGAGGTTGCAGAGGGACAGACAGGCAGACAGACGCGGGGAGACGGAGGGCTTGGGGGCGGGGGTGGGGGTTCTCCAGGAATCCAGACCCCGGGGCGGGGTGTGTGTGCGCGCGCCTGCGGCCCGGCCCTACCTGCGCCCGCGCCCTGTCAGAGGAAGCACCTCTCTCCCCCGCACCCAGGGTGCGGGGCGCGCCGCCCGCAGCGGCCTCACCGGGGAGGTGGGGCTGGGAAGCGTCTGCGGAGCGATCAGGTCGGGCCGGTGCCCCCCACCCCTGCCAGCCTCACGTAGCAGTGAGTTGGCAAGTCGATCGGGAACCCAGGTGGCAAAGGGGGCGGGCCGGGGAGCGCCGCGCGCCC